GGACGATTTAGCTGCTGTGGGTGTATGTTTTGTTGCCTGACAACCTATCTTTCACAATGCCGCAATTGTAACTTATATGGCCAACCATATTTAAACTTTTCTTGGTGATTTTGGGGCAGAAAATCGATTGACCCAAACCATTTCATTAGTTGTTAAAATTCCTGTATTCCTTATAGAATGCCAGGCTTTGAGTTTGTAGCATTATAAACAGTTAATATTAAGACATTTAAAGTAGCTAAGTCTCTAACTCAATATCATCCAAAATCTTCGACATTGAAAACACGAATTATTTGTCAATTTAAATCAACATTGATGTTGTGATCTTACCGGGAAAAGATGGGCTTCTGATATCCAATATTTAAGACAAAATAAACATTTTACCATTGGTACATGAATCGTGTACCATAATGCGTTTCAGGCCCATTCTAACAAGGGACTCGAAGAACGAGGCTAGACATTCAATAAGTCCATTCTGAACATCTGAGACACGCTACCTGCGGAGAAGTATCTCAGGCACAGTCAATAGCCATGATATCCATATCACGTGATCTACACATCACAGGTCATGACATTGACGTCAATGGGTCATGAGGTCAACATTGTAAACAATAGGTTTATCTTCAGCATTGTGTCCGTTGCACCCATAAAGACTATATAATTCGTACAATCCCAACATGTTCTCTCTTCTTCCAATGATTTTTCACAAAAATAACATCTACAACTCATAGAATTGACGTTGTCTTCAATGACAGCGTCTGCGAGGGTTGTTCATAGAGGCCGCCATATTGCACTATTTTGTGCGTCGATCGGGTCTATTTCAGATATACACAATCAAATCTGTTGATGTTTTTAGCGTTCTTATTGACAAATAGTTAATGTGTTTCAGTTCTAAAACAAATATTTTAAACTTAAACGCAAATTTAGAAAATAGCCAAATTCTGGCTGAGATTACTGAGCAAAATGGCCATTCACTGTATACTTGCGAAAAAAAAGCTAGCCACCAATTAATTTTCGTACGTTAGTTACATACGTCAACAAGTCATGTCAAACGGTGACGGCATATTCATATCGGGAGAGTATGCGCAATAAATACTATGTAGACTAGAATAACCAGACGCTAGAAATTTTCATTTGATTGAGACTTCAGACATATGTCGCTGAACGGAACTGATTTGAAATTAAGAGTAAAAATGGAAACGATTGAATGTAAATCAGTTTATATATATTCATATTAAATTATTATATGCGTTACGACCCAGTTCTGGGCATTTGTGTCAATTTCTAGGTCCAAAATATTGGCGATTTAGCTCCTTTAAGGCATGGGTATATTGTTAAAACAACTAAGCGTTTGCGCATGCACACACATGTCAAATTCAGTCGTCTCATAGAGTGTATTCCGTTACTTCGCAGTAAGGAAATAAACAATGTTTTCTGACTGCGATAAAGTAATTTCGTTTCAGGGGTATGCGTTTACGTTAGTTTTACGGCGACCAAGGGACATAACTCTTATTCTCACTAAGAGTTATCTGCCTTGATTATGGAAGCCGGGTAGATTTTGAAGCATTTATAACATATTTCCAAATGGTTATATCCTCAAAAATCAAATGTAGTCAGACTTCCATTGTTGATGAATGAAGTTTTTATGATAAGTCTTGTCATATAATGTTAAAATAATCCCGAAATAGTGTCTGTTGTAAAAAAATTGAGCATGAACCACTGTAACAGTGGGAGGGGTTCATTGTCAAATTTGACACTTCAAGGAAGGGTTGATGAAAACTGCCGCACGCTGGTTTATCTATCCATGTTTGCTTTTCTATCGGTTCTTACATAAGATTTACTGTTTAGCGTGTCTTTGATTCGTGTGTTACGTTTAATTGGCCGTGGCACTGCAAGAGGAATAGTTCAGATTGCCCCAAATTGTGATTGGACGGTTGATTAGGAGCATACCACGCTGAATGTCTGAGGATTGGTGGAGCAATTACTCATTATTAAGACAAAAATTCAAAACGTCCATTTTCACTTTTGACCGTGTATCTCTTTGCAAGTGAAATGGAGCGGTCAGATAAGCCACCCATATGAAATGTTTATGTTCATGTGTAGGTAATTGGCCTGTTATTAACATACACTGGTTACCTCTAATAAAAACAGCAGTGCATTTCCGCAGTTTTGTAGTAGTGCATTTCCGCAGTTCTGTATTGTTTCTGAATATCCCCTACTTTTTATACGCCCACGCACATTTTCATGTGGACATTTATTGTCGTCGCCCCTGTTTGTCCGTACGTATGTCCACAGTTTGGCCTTGTGTAAATTTCAAGAAACAAAAGAACTATAGCGGGGACACCTGTAATAACTTTTTGTTATTGCCACCGCTGGACAATATCCATAGAGGGGTTGAAATAGTTATTTGACAGAATAAAAGAAAAGTCATTTAAAATCCGAATGATGGCCATCTTATAAGTATACATTGTAAGAATCATTTGATTTCGCACCAATAAAATGATATTTAATGATTAAAATATTATTCAAAGAACAATTGTCTTTGCCTTATTTCAACTTCATTCATTGCAAATTATCGCAGATACGTTGCAGTAAATATACTGGTATATATGCCACTATTTTATGATACTGGATTATTCGTAATTATACTAATATGCAACTATTTGATATAAGGTTATTCGCTGCAGTAATTATACTGGTATGCAGATATTTAATATTGGGTTATTGGTTGCAGTAATTATACTGATATGCGCAGCTATTTGATATTGGGTTATCATTTGATAATACTGGGTAGTATTTATTGTCATTTTTGTCATAATATATGCAAAATTGTTTTTAAATACTCTCGTCATTCAAATATCATGATCCGAATCAGTCAAGAATCTGGTCTGAATCAGCCAAGAATGTGAAGCACCTTTGATAAAAGAAATATATATATCATAATGTATGCAAAGTGCATATGGTAGAAATCTATTTCTGTTTAATGATTTACTGGTCTGAAGCAAAACACATACCTGTATTACTATTAGACCTATATTCAACAAATGTTGGATTTTACTATATTGTCTATATTTGAACAGAGAATAAACTGCTACTTTGAACAATAAAATATTTATCTGATGGAGGGAACAACAGTTTTCTTGTTGCTTGATTATGGAACAAAAAAAATTCCTAACTGATCGAATCCTCCGATAAAGGATTAGTAATGTCCCTTTATTGTAATGTCCAGAAAAATATAAGTTATGTCAATTGATCGCCATTAACAACAATTGAAAGTGAAAACATATTTATTTGATAGAGAGAACTTTTATTGCTGCTTTGGATATATTTTGGAACGATAATACTAGACTTTATGGTGCAGAAAAGTATTTGGTGTTTCTACTCTGTTGTGCCATTTCACGAAATGAGAAAAAATTGGTTGGTGCTGGTAGGTTTGTTATTGTTTGGGGTAAGGCAGCTTTTCTGTTATTTTTTGGGCAAAAGTATTTTGGTCGACTTATTTTGTCTTATTAGTAAAATAATATGTATCTGATCAGACATAATTGTGTAGCAATACTTTTTTCTGTGAGCTGATAGTGAAAAAACTTCGAACAGTCAGGAGGTAATTGGTAGTTGACTAGCTAACCGGATGAGGACACTTCGCTTGACACGGTACACACTCTAAGTGGGCATGGCCTGCCTGTGTGTTTATCCGCCCAAAGCGAAATTGAAAACAAGTACGGCAGTTCTTTTGGGCGTTACCTTTTTTTATTTAATTATTTCTGTAGTTTTGTAATCGGAGTTCAGCTTTGATGGGAAAGATAGAAGTAAAAATAAAAACTGTATTATTTCAATAAACGAAAAATCATGAAAGATAAAATCTATTATTACACTATAAAACTGGATGAGGGAAACCGTAAATATATTAATTAAATAAACTGAAAATCATGAAAGATGAAACCTATTATTAGACTATAAAAAACTAGGGAAACCGTTAATATATTAATTCAATAAACTGAAAATCAAGAAATGTGAAATATATCATCAGACTATAAAACTGGATAAATTTGGTAAAATTGGACTTTTTGATTAGCAGCACTAATCAACTGTGAAAAATTACTGACAGCCCTGGTCACACAGAGTTCGACAATGGGCAATATCACATTGGGTGAAAGCGGGCGCATGTCCCTATTTGCAATAGTGTTATTTGATATGTGAATTACTGTTTTCTTGGATAGTCCTATTTACAACCCAGCTAAGAAACAATAATACATTTATGAATTAAAACGCCCATGTTTAGTTAATATAGCAGTGACGAAACTAATAGGTTTTCGTTAATTGTGCGATTTTATATTTATAAACTTGCTTTCGAAACAGATTCGTTAATCTGATGTCAATGGAGACCAATCTGCGTAAAACACATGGTTGAACCAGAAATCGCACGGTAAATTTGATTTAACACCTACGCGTCAGATCAAGCCTGCTGGTCCTTGATAAAACACCTTTGGTGCAGTTATAACACGCTTTCGAGAAAACTCACCAAACAAAGAGTACCCACTGTGTCAATCGTTTTTAACCTGTCCGTTAATTAACACACCCAGTACAGAAAACGCACCATTGCAGAGATTTTCACCCCAAGCGATATTTAAATCACTGTTCAGCCAATTGGAATACAATATCAGAAATGAAATTAAGTAGGTTTTAACAATGACTGGGCTACTGAAGATGGGCATATGTCATGCAGTATGCTATAAGAGATATTTTGCCCGTATAGGGCTTTTCAGCCTACTTTTTCTTTAATTCCAACTGACAAGGTTTTTTTTTTACAGGCACAGGACCTCATTTTTCATCATATTCAAACGACTAGAAGTTATTCCTTGTTACGTCCACTATCTTGCAAAAAATATTGGAAAATCCTGAGTAACTTTCTCACTGGGATCGAATCCCAGACTATCTGGTTATCGAGCCACCGCTTTACTCCATGAGCAATTAATATCTATGTTTTCTTTATACCATTTTTTCAGTTCTTCTGTGGTTAGGAAAGAACTCAAAGAATTTAATAGAGATATAGCCCTAAAAAATGAAACCACATCTTTGAAGAATGGTGAGTAACTAAAACAAAATGCCAAATTTCTTGATAAAGGTACTCATTCAGATTGTTCAAATTATGAAATTAAATGAACTTTACCTTAACTGAAATTTAATTGTAATTCTCTTTTATCTGTTGTGGAAGGAATGTATTATTTGAGAGTGAAGGGGTGAGGAATTCAATCCAGAAGAAAAACACAATGCTTGAGACGGAACATAATCCCTGTTCGAAATGGCATTTAGTAATTGAATTATGTGTAAACAATTACTTTTTTTAATCAGAGCTACGTTTCTGCAATGATTCTCTTGTGTTCAAGCACAATACTGATACAGAGAGTGTGTGTGTAAAATAGATTTATTTGATGTCCACTTCTACTGAAGTGATATCGCAGACAATTACATGTTATATATACAGTGAATTATTTACAAGGTCGCGAAAATAATTGAATGAATTAGTAAAATATTTATATATATGTGTACAGAACGAATAAAACAATTAATGATGGGATGTTATACATTTAAACAATTGAACAAGGACATATATACAGTTGTATAACAAGTGCTATAACGAATATACAAATAGAGACAAACATAGACATTTTACAAACGTACTGGACAAAGCGAACATTTCACAAAACAAACATGGATAAAGACAAACATTGGACAAGTAGACATAGAGTGTACATATATATTTATACAAGTCATTTGCGTCCGTCTGGTCATTTTGTCCGATTGAATGGCAGGGCAGCGCAACTCTTCCTGGAGGCTTGTTGGCGAGTGTATGGCCTGGTCCATTCTTTATTCCATTTGATCTTTTTGTCCTGTGTGATTGTTGATTTCATCTTTGTTTCTGTTGTTCGTTCCTTTGTTGTTGGTTCTCTGAAGAAAGAATCCAGCACCTGAAAAGAGAAAGAGAGAAAAGGAGAGTATCTAGGCTTAGAATATTTTATTTCGTCCAATAAGGCTTGCAGGGTGGGGGGGGGCACTAAAGATAAATAATTAAGTGTCATTCCACGAGAAAACCATGCAGGGGGTGATAAGGTGGGGGTCAGCCGATCCGATTCATATTCACAGGGATTAATCAGTCCGACTAGACTACTCGTTGACCAAAAGGGCCGATCTCAAAAATTAACCATTTGGGAGATATGGCCCTATAACGATTTTCAGCCTATTTTCACCGATTTTGAGTCAAAATTTAGGCATATTTAGAGTCATTTTTCCAGGTCAAAATAGGGACTGCGTGATATACTGATGGTAGGTGATGATAGTATATGTCTTCGAGTATTCAAGCATCATGACCAATTTATGTTGCTCCATGTCTCTGAGACATAGTATGGAAACCACTGATAGGTGTCGCCCATCACCTTGAAAGTACCCTATCTTTGAAATTAAATATAGCCGATGGTACGGGTATGGGCAAGATGGGTAAACGGTAATTATGTAGAGGGGTACTAGTGCTACCAAAATCAACAATAAAATTTTTGCCCACTCTTGTCCCATTATCAGAAATAATTTTTAAAGTTACCCCTTTTTCGAAATTTTGACCGATAGTGAATTGGTTGTTCACTATATATGCGCATAGTTTAATCGCCATATCGACCATAAATTTGCTTGAATCTGCTCGAGTGAACTAGAAATGTTTGATAGAATGACTCCTGTATCAGGGGAAACTGTCAATTTTTTTTCAGATATCACTCATTCACCGTTTCTGAAATTTTCGCATATTGACTATAAATCTTCATGATACGATTTCATAGGTTTGGTGACCAAAAGTACCTTTATGCATTATCGAAAATTATTTTGACGGATACCCCCTGTCTCTACCTAGGCCTAAAGCGGCGAAAGCTTTATAATGATCAGACCAATAGACGAAATTTTATCAAAAAAATTAAGTAAGTGAATCAGTAATTATACACGAACGTAACAATTAAGTAAGGGAATCAGTAATTATACACGAACGTAACAATTTACAGTATTGTTTATAGATGGATTGACTCAGCTATTTACAATACAGTGCCCATCTTTTCTAAGCGTCCGGCATTTCTTATAATGTATAATGAATGACTTTAAAATAACATAAAAATGGGTTTCTTGTACAATATAAATATTTTTGCGATATCTATTCTGCGTAGACTCTGGACAAGACATCAATAAATTTATGAAACGTACGATTTATATCAGATAGGCAAATTTAATGTTTGGCCTTCATATGAAGTTACTTCGCAAGATATTATCCTCGAAGAGTTGATCCGATACGATCCTCGAAGAGTTGTGATTCTTATAGTTCAGCTATATGGCGAGTAAGTTCTTCTTGAGTGGTAAAAACTTTTACACAATTTACGTCTGTACAGTTTATATTCGCTGAAGAAGATCCTGCCCTACGAAGTGATCCAGTCTCCACAGCAGGAACACTGTAGGGGCCAGTGACAGGATTAGTTTCTTGCTGTGGTTTTTCGTTTTTCAGTAGAGAGTCCATTGTTACTAGTTTTCCATTACCAATTTTGTAGGCCTTCCAAAAGCGAATATAAACTGTACAGACGTAAATGGTCCTCCGACAAAGTAAAGGACTTTTTGCTACAAAGGTTCATGATAGGGGTCGAGACTGGCAAAAAGGAGGTGCCTTCCAATGTTGTGAAATTAATGAAATCTCAGTTTTCAAAGGAGGACTGGCTCACTACTAAACAAGTGAACAGTTATTTCTCGAGATTGGCTGCCCAGCAAAAGTGCGGTCATCCACTCGGGCAGGTTGAACATGACACAATTGATGAAAAACCTGCCTTAGATCTAGTTTCGAGAAGGAAACTTCGTTCTCGAATTATTGAACAGTGTGAACTATGAGAATCACAACTCTTCAAGGATCGTATCGGATCAACTCTTCGAGGATAATATCTTGCAACAAAACTTCATATGAAGGCCAAACATTAAATTTGCCTATCTGATATAAATCGTAGGTTTCATAAATTTATTGATGTCTTGTCCAGAGTCTACGCAGAATAGATATCGCAAAAATATTTATATTGTACAAGAAACCCATTTTTATGTTATTTTAAAGTCATTCATTATACATTATAAGAAATGCCGGACGCTTAGAAAAGATGGGCACTGTATTGTAAATAGCTGAGTCAATCCATCTATAAACAATACTGTAAATTGTTACGTTCGTGTATAATTACTGATTCACTTACTTAATTTTTTTGATAAAATTTCGTCTATTGGTCTGATCATTATAAAGCTTCCGCCGCTTTAGGCCTAGGTAGAGACAGGGGGTATCCGTCAAAATAATTTTCGATAATGCATAAAGGTACTTTTGGTCACCAAACCTATGAAATCATATCATGAAGATTTATAGTCAATATGCGAAAATTTCAGAAACGGTGAATGAGTGATATCTGAAAAAAATTGACAGTTCCCCCTGATACAGGAGTCATTCTATCAAACATTTCTAGTTCATTCGAGCAGATTCGAGCAAATTTATGGTCGATATGGCGATTAAACTATGCGCATATATAGTGAACAACCAATTCACTATCGGTCAAAATTTCGAAAAAGGGGTAACTTTAAAAATTATTTCTGATAATGGGACAAGAGTGGGCAAAAATTTTATTGTTGATTTTGGTAGCACTAGTACCCCTCTACATAATTACCGTTTACCCATCTTGCCCATACCCATACCATCGGCTATATTTAATTTCAAAGATAGGGTACTTTCAAGGTGATGGGCAACACCTATCAGTGGTTTCCATACTATGTCTCAGAGACATGGAGCAACATAAATTGGTCATGATGCTTGAATAGTCGAAGACATATACTATCATCACCTACCATCAGTATATCACGCAGTCCCTATTTTGGCCTGGAAAAATGACTCTAAATATGCCTAAATTTTGACTCAAAATCGGTGAAAATAGGCTGAAAATCGTTATAGGGCCATATCTCCCGAATGGTTAATTTTTTAGATCGGCCCTTTTGGTCAACGAGTAGTCTAGTCGGACTGAATAATCCCTGTGAATGTGGATCCGAAGTGCCGACCCCCCACCTTATCACTTTTGCAGGATTTTGCATGGTTTTCTCGTGGAGTGACACTTAATAATATAATAAGTAATAATAAAAATAAATAAAGATAGATAATTAATAATATAATAAGTAATAAATAAATAGTGAAAATAATTAAGTTAAAAATAATAATATGGCTGTGTAGAAATTTGATCCTATGATTGATCATATATATACACTTGGTGAATTCAATCTTTATTTTAAGGTTATTTGTAATACAAAATAGTTACATGGGTGTACAATCAATCATAGTTTAAGAATACATATAATAATATAGTATAAGAATAATGCATCTATGGAGCGGGGTGGTTTGGCATTACCCTCTCTTGGGACATTTTACGTTCCACCTTCCTAAGATTGATAATATTATATTGTATTAGTTGTGCAGGATGGATTACGTATCCCTCTTTGGGGACATTTTTACACTTGGCCCAGCTGTGTATTTTTATACGCCCTCATGAAAATATAGTCGTATATTGCCGTACGTACGTCTGTCCATCGTCCACAATTTCTTGTGAACACTCTACAGACTACATTTATCATCTGATTGGTTTGAAATTGATATATACTATTCAAAAAAAGTAGGGGATATTTGATTTTGGGGGCATAATACTAAAATATGCAAATGACTACGAAAAAAGTCACTATAGAACCTAACAGAAGAAACATTTCCAGTTACATGTGACGCCCAAACGCACCAATAGCTACCGCATGGAATGCATGTGATGCTTGGGATCATCATGGGGGTCCAACCCAAGATTTGCACTACTCTGACTTTGAATGTTACAGTCATTGTGGCATTGAATTCCAGGGTGGAAACATCAGTTTAATTGTTTTAGTGACCAGAAAACAAATTTTGATATGCGTCGGCTTACCCAAAATGAAAGGTTACGTGCCCTTGGCATGCTACAGATCGGCACAACACAGGCGGTTGTGGCGCGGACGATGAATGTTTCTCAGTCT